TATGTGCCACAGGGACTGAGCTCCCGTCTCATTTCCAGAGATGGTCTCTGCAGGGTGGGGGTGGGGTATGCTTAGTCTACCTCCAGCATGGGATAGATTCAGGTCCCGGGGTCACACCCACCTCTTTCCCCTGCACCACTGACACTTTCACAAGCGTGAATAAAAATCAAAAGCTGCTGGATGCTTGAAACAGTACACAGTGTTTCGCTTTATTGAGTGCAACTTGTCTGTGTTCTTTGGTGCCGGGAGCCGACCGCGCTGCTCCCACTGGCTGCAGCATTAGAATATAATACAGCGTACGCTATACAGCCATCTCCTCACCCCCCTGCTGCATGGCTGGGGACCTCTCCGAACCCGGCTGGTGGTTTGCGGAGCACTCCCAAGGAAGGGGTCTCTAGGTCTGTCCTCAAGGGGGGCCATTGAGCCAATCCACTAACCTCTGCAGCGCACCCGAAAAGCCCTTTGCATAGCAAAGCTAACCCCGGCTGGCCTACGCCCCCGCCCTCAGCCAGGCCAGAGCTGGGCTCTGCTCACCAGCAGCTCTGCCTCCAAGGCCGGCTTCCAGAACAGGCTGTTCTCCCTTCCTGGATGTGACGAGGGCTGCCCGTGAAAGGGGCGACTCCCTCCCATGTGCTGTGCTGACCTCATCACCCGCCGGGAACATCGGGATTTAAGGCACTGAGTGAACAAGGATGGCCCAAGCCGCTAGCGTCGTGGAAGGAGCACAAAGGGTTAACGGTGGCTGCACCCCCAGTTACCCTCCCTACACCCTGCCCTTTAGGCCGTTCACCTGGGGATTCTGATCCAGCCGCCCAGCTCTGAGCCTGCTCTTCCCATGAGGAGCTGGGAACTGGCTCTGGGTTCAGCTGCTGCCCCCCCCCCCTTCCACCAGCACTGCCCAGGGGGAGCCAGAGTGCTCCAACACAGCGTTTCCGCCCCATCCTGCCCCCACTTAAAGCACCTGTTCCAGCCTCTAGAATTGGGGGGGGGGGTGACTTACAATGCTGCCTGCGGCCCCACTTCTGTTTCCTTCTGCAATAAGCGAATCTCTTACTAGACAGCACGAGCAATATACACAGCACGTTTCTTTGCAAATTCCCCTTGTGCCGTTCGCCTGCCCCCCGTCAGTGTTATTTCAAGGTCGTTTGGCTTTCCGGACTAGTCAAATATACAGTCTGGCAGTTCGCTACAAACCCCTTTGCTTACCAAGGATAAAAGACATTGAATTAGAAACAACAAAAGTCTGAGCACTAGCGTGGGCCATTTCTCCTCCCCAGCCTGTGGCTAAGTAGATCTTTTTGTTTGTTTTTTTTAACCTAACATAAGGCTAGCTTAAGACAGGTAACTGCCCAAAGCATTGGTGTTCGCCCTGAAGCCTGGGCTGATCTGTATTCACGGGGAGGGTGAAAACCCGGCTGGAATTGAAAAGCACTGATAGACGACAAATCCCCCCTCCACTCTAAAATCATCTCAGTGCGTTGACTGCAGCCCCCGCTGCTCCTCCCCACCGGAGGGCGCTCTGCAGGGCGGAGGGAACCTGCACACCTTGGTTCAGAGCGGAGCCAGGACTAAGCCCCCGTCTTTCTGCTCTCCTTGGAGTGGATTTGAATGTGATGCTGTGAAGGAACGTTCCTCCCCGTAGGCACGCGGCAAGAGAAGGGGAGGGAGCCTGTCGCCAGGCAGCCGAAATGGAGGGAGCCCATTGGCAAAGAACGGAGCCATGGGCCCAGGGAAACGCACAGCCAGGCAGGGCCTGCCCCTGGATTCCTCACTTCCCAGGGAGCTATGCCTAGAGGATCTGGGATCGGAAGCAGCGCCATGAACACACCTCTACAAGAGAGGATGCTACAGGGATGTACTCGGTGCATAGACCCATCCCCCGGGGGCAGCGTGCGGAGAGAAGAAAGACAGGAGGCTACATGGGAGCACAGAGGGCAGCGGAGCAATTAACAGGGCAGGCAGAAATCAACTGACACTGGCTTCATTTCTGGGCAAAGCCTTGTTATTCTGCAGGGCAGACGGGCCAGTCTCGCCTGCTACCCCTCTGAGCAGCCATGCTGGGCTCCCCAGGTGAGAAGGGAAACCAGAGACCGTTGGCCGGGGAGAGAGACGCCGGGGCGGGGAGCGGGAAAGGACGAGGGAAAGGAAGGCGGCAAGGTGTTCCCGGAGCACTCCTGGGCCCGGGGCAATTCCAGCCGGGAGCTCCGGGGAGACTTTAGCTGCGGCCCACGATCTGCAGTAGGAAGATGAAGATCTGGACGATGTTCATGTAGATCTCCAGGGCTCCGTAGACGTACTCCTCAGGGCTGATCGCGTTCTTCCTGTTCCCTAGCACCAGCTGGGTGTTGTAAGCGAGGAACTGGGGAGACGAGAGACAGGGCGATGGGTCAGCCACGCTGCTCGAGATCGTCAGCCCCATGTGCTGGAGCCAGGAGCTGCCTCCATCCTCCCCCAGCAGGGACAGAGCACGAGCCACGTTACTCACCAGGGTAAAGACGATGGCGCCGATGGCCGCGTACAGCATGTGGAGCCACGCAATCTGCAAAGACAGGGCCGGTCAGAGGACAGAGGGCTGCAGCGGCAGCCCCAGGGCACAGACCAGTAATGCCACCCGCCAGCCCAGGGCTGGAGAAAAATTATTTGGATCCCTCAGCGTAGGTGTCAGGGATTGCTTTACCCGACTCTGAGATGCAGCCACCTCGGGGGAGGAGCATGACAGCTGTTGGCTAACAGCACAGCTCCACGTAGCACAGCTCACCTCCAACTCACAGGGGAGAGCACCCCCAACTGTGTCACCCCACCTCACCCAGCTGTAACTTCCCTTAGAGGTCTCCCGTCCACGCAACCAGGCCTGACCCTGCTCAGTCAATGCAGTCTGGCACGTTGCTAGAGATATTCACACCAAGGCGGTATGGCTGCAGGATGGAGTGAAGGGAGATGGTCTGGTTTTACCCACCCCCCAAATACCATAGCTGCCTTTTAAAGTGAACCCAGGGGACCAAATCTCCCAGGCAACTTTCCCTCTGTCAACAAAACATGCCCTGACATCCCTGGCCAAGCGTGAGCAGCTGGCTCAGGAACAGAGGTTTGCTTTCGTGCAAGATACTGAAGCGGGGCCAGTTTGGGAGACGAAGTTATGGTAACTCCATTCACCTCCTGCCCACCGTCCCAGGGCAGCTGGATGCATCAGCTGAAGGGATCAGGGAATGAAATCACCCTGCTGCTGACATTCCGATTTGCCATCATTAGGTTTCAGAGTCAACATCTCTGCTGTGTAAATGGGGCAGTTCACCCACCCATGGGGGCTATTGCTTCAGGCTCTGAGCAGACTCCGGTAGGTCACGCTTGCCGTGCTGGCAACTGCAGATACGGATGGGGCCAGCAGAGGGCAGCGCTGGTGTCATGTCCCCGCCTGTCCTCGAACGGGCCTCCCCCAGCCACTACTCACATATTTGAAGGAGAGGACGATGGCGGTGATTATTCCCGTCACCATGACGACAATCCCCAGCACACAGAACAGCCCGGTACACGACGTGAAATCCACCTGCCAGCAGGACGGCGACAAGTTAGAAAAGGACTCACGGAGCATGGCGGGAACGCAGCCACCCCGCAGCACCGGGCTTCCCCCACAGGAGGCGCCAGAGCCCGGGGCCCGTCTGCTCCCCACGTCAGCACGACTCGGCTGCGTCAGGTGGCACGGGACGGATGTTGCGCGGCAGCCTGGGTAGCGAGGGTCAGCAGCACGCAGGGCAACGTGCTGCCCAGCTGGGATGCAGCCAGTGGGAGCCGCGCTGGGAAATGGACACCCCAAAGCGCTGACCCAGCTCTCTCTGGGCTGCCACACGAGATCCAGGTTCGATTCCTGCTCTGTCAGTCCCAGAGCTGGGCACAGGCAGCGTGGACCCCTGAGGGGAAGGGGCTCTGTGACCAGCACCCCACTCTGGATGAGTCAGCATCTGCCTCGTACCCTGTCCCAGCCTATGCCGCGGGGACTCTCAGGAGGGGAAATCCCCTGACTCCCCCTGTCCCTGTTGCCCCGGACGGGCAGGGAGCCCATCGAGCCTTACCTTGGTCTGGAAGCAGAAGACGGTGACAATTATGGCCACTATAGCAGTGATCACCATGGTGATCAGGACAGCCCGGGTGCTATACATGCTGCACACAAAGGGTTAAGAGGGGGAGGGGGGAGGTTAGTTTAAAAGCCATTCAATGATTTCCCACTTCCCCCTCTGCGTGCAAAGGGGAGCTAAGAACCGGGGCTCGCTCCCCGGCAGTGCGATCCCGTGGGCAGGGCTCGGCGGGCGTTCCGACACGGCACCCATGGGCCCTATAGAAAAGCCATCACAGGCAGCCTGCGGTTCTGCGACTTGCCCCCAGGAGGCGCCTGGTTGAGTCCAGGCTCCAGGGCAACTCCGTCAACCTGAGCTAAGCCAGGGGATCCCCTAAGTTAGCACCAGGGTGGGGCTGGTTTTCCTCTCCGTCCGAGCCCACCTCCCCCGCAGGGCTAGCGACCCTGACACGGGGGCACGTGGCCCGGTGGACACGTTCTTCACACCTCCCCCCCGCGGGCGACAGGCGAAGGAGGGAAGGGGCTCAGAGGGGGGTTTCCCCAGGCAGTACCTGGCAATGGTTCCCGTCATGAAGGCCATGGCCAGCGTCTGCCGCAAACGAAAGGAAAGGGGGCGATTAGCTGTGGGGCCAGCCCCAGCGAGGGATCAAGGCATCGTGTCGGCTTCCCGGGTACGTACGTACGCACGTGCGCACGCACGCGCACATCCTATTTCTACCCCCATGCACGTGACCCCAGGCCCAATCCTAACCAGTGTTCAACCATCAGAGCCGTCCCTTCGTTCCATCCCACTCCTCCCCACAGGCCCCACTCCCCGGATCACGCCCCCCCACCCTGTACAACCCGGCCCCACAGCCCCACTCCCCGGATCACGCCCCCTCCCCCCGGTACAACCCGGCCCCACAGCCCCACTCCCACCTTTGCCCCCCCCCGTACAACCCGGCCCCACAGCCCCACTCCCACC